TAATGTGAATGTTCAGCTCATATACCTGTCTTTTGTTTGGCTGGAAGCCACAGGAGTGGTGAACCAGCAGTCTTTCAGTTTGCAGCTGAAAGCTTAACCATTGTGCCACCAGAGCTCCTTTTGATCGGTAGCCGAGTGCTAACTGTTTGCACCACCCAGGGGCCTTCCAGGGAGAGAAGAGGTCTCTTAAACAGCCTCAAATCCAGCTCGACTACATACCAGTTGTGGGAATTTGGGCCAATTGTGGGAGCTCTCAGAAGCTCAGTGTCCTTCATTATAAAAGGGATAGGATAATTCACAGCTGTGAAGGTCATTACGCAGGCTGGTGCAAAGTGGGTGCAATCAACAAAGACATTTTCTGTAAGTATTGGAAGGGAGTCATTTACTTTCATTTCTTTCCCATTTCCCTCAATGGAGCAGTGATGAACTCTTAAGCCTTCTCTTCCATGGCAGAAATGTGCTTCAAGTTTACATTATTTATTGACCTATCTGCTCTCTTATTTATTTTCCTCTAGATACATTCCTGTGTCGAACATTCCAGTCCTCAGAAATGAACATGGTGCTCTAGATTATTTTATACCGAACACTTCTTTTTTCAAAGTCTGAGATAGTCTAAGGTGGAGTCGCCTTTTCTTGGGCAGTCAAGTTGAACTTATAGCTCATATTAAGCTTTTTTCAACCCGTTTGGGCTGCTGCAGTAGCTCCCTCACTGGTCTTCCTGCTTCTCCCCTTATGCCCTGAGTGTTTATCCTCAAGGCAGCAGTCAGAGGGATCCTATGAAAACATTTATCAGGTCACTTCTCTGCTTGAAGACCTCTCATGGCCTCCCATCTTGTTCACTGTAAAAGCCAAAGTCCTACAATTTTCTCCAAGGTCCTCCTGATCTGGCCCCCTGTTCCTTCTCAGAGCTCACCTCCTGCCACTTTGCCCTGGGCATGGAGCCCCAGTCACAACCTCCTCTGATGTTCTTGAGATGTGCCTACACTTTCACATTCCTGTTCCCTCTGGCCAAAACAGTCATCCCCCAGACAGCCACACGACTTTCATCTCTTCCTTCAGGCCTCTGCTCTGATGTTGTCTTCTCAGAGAGGCCCTTCTTATAGGAAATCTCTCTCCCCACCCCATCATTCTCCATTCCCTTATCCTCCTGTTACAAGTCATAGCATTTCTCTCCTTTGTGTTTCTCACCCCCACCTCTACCTCCTAGAATACTATGTGCACAGGCATTTTTCCTGTCTTATTCATTAATGCATATTCAATATCTAGAGTAATGTCTGCTATACAAGAGGTACTTAGCAAATCATTGCTGGATAGTTGTTGAATAAGGAGTTAAGCCCCAAGTGGTTAATTTCTCAACTACTAGCTGAAAGGTGCCAGAGGTGCCCCGGAAGACAGGTCTGGAGATCTGCTTCCAAAAGGTCACAGCCTGGAAAACTCTATGAAGGAGTTCTACTCTGTATACATGGGGTCACCGTTGGTTAAGTTGACTTGATGGCAACTAACAACAATTATTGAATACAGATTCTCTGTTGTTTTGTATATGAATCATGCTTGATCAGACTCAGTGACTGACTTATAGCAACCCCTCCTTGGGTTTCTGAGGCAGTATCACTCCAGAAGTAGATTGCCCAACCTTCCTTCCGAGGAGTGGCTAATGGGTTTGAACCGCCAGTCAAGTGCCTTAGGCACTATGCCACCAGAGCTCCTTTCTTGATCAGAGGACTGCCTAATTCTGAACTTCTGTAGTTGTTTTAGTGGCATTTGGATTTACATTCTGTTAAGTTTCTTATTGGAATGGAACATATATTCTCTTTGGATTTATTCTACTGTTGTAGTTGTTTATAAGAAAGAAATGGGGTAAGCAGCACTTGACTTATTCCTAGCAAATTCCTAATGGACCAGGGATATTTTTTCTAAGTGGAAACCATACTGCAAAAAAA